CTCCCATCCTATATCTGTGCCTTTGGTTTTTTGTACCTAAGTGTGGGACTTTGCACTTATCTCTATTGAAACTCATTTTATTGGTCTCAGCCCGACTGTTCCAGCCTACCTAGATCATTTTGAATCCTGACTCCGTCTTCTTCAGAATTAGCCATCCCACCTTGAGCCAGGGCCCCTCCCTTCCTGGAAGACGATGACACAGCAGCCCCCCCCCCAAGCTCACCCCCACCGCTGCCGGTTAGCAGAGCCCCAGCCCCAGCCGCCACCCTCTCCCCCTCCACCCTGCTCTTGGCCCAGCCCAGCCTCCTCACCTTGAACTTGCCCTCCGGGGAGAAGATGCTGACCCAGCGGTTGTCGTAGTCGGCAATGATGATGTCCCCGTTGAGGTCCACCGTAACCCCCGTAGGGCGCTGCAGCTGCCCGGGGGAGCGGCCTCGCACGCCAAAGCGCAACCGGAACTGGCCCTCATTGGAGAAGACCTATAGGCCAGAGGCAGAGAAGAGGAGGAGGAGGAGGAGGAGGCGTCAGACTCCTGCAACAATCAGAATCAACGACTTGCTTCTTCAGAAGACAAGTTTATTGGTACAGTATTGGTAAAAGGTAAAGGCTCCTCTTGCTCGAAAGCCAGTCGAGTCCGACTCTAGGGTTGCGGTGCTCATCTCCGTTTCAAAGCCGAAGAGCCAGCGCTGTCTGAAGACATTTCCGTGGTCATGTGGCCGGCATGACTAAACTCCAAGGCGCACGGAACGCTGTTACCTTCCCACCGAAGCGGTACCTATTTATCTACTTGCAATTTCTTGCTTTCAAACGGCTAGGTTGGCAGGAGCTGGGGCCAGAGAAGGGAGCTCACTCTGTCATGCGGCAACTCGGGTCTCGAACAGCCTGCAGTTCAGCGTCTTAACCACTTGAGCCACCGCAGCTCCTTACAGTATTGGTAGGGCATCTCTAATTCAGGTTCTGTGTCAAGACGAAAGCAACGAGCACGGGGTGGACAGATTATACGTGGCTCAAAGGGGTCACTGGGCAGCATGGAGCCAATGAAGGTAAAATGTAGGGCTTGCCAAAATGTAACGGACCCACATTCCCAGGGATGATGTTACAGCTAGGAACCAAGGTCAGGCACGTAAAAGATACATACAGACAAGGAAGCATCGCCAAGACAGCAAGGGAATCGAAACTAACACATCCCAAGCAACCTTTCCCCACAACAGGAGCCTCTAGAGCAGCGAGCGGAAGGGAGGAGGTGCTCGGCCAGGGGGGGCAGGTGCTGGGGGGGGCAGGTGCTGGGCGGGGAGGAGGGAGGGGGGGTCCCCTACCTGCACGCATTGGTTATTGCTGTCAGCCACCACGATGCGCCCGTTGCTGGAGGTGGAAATGCCTTGCAGGTTGGTGAATTCGCCTTTCTCCCGGCCACGACTTCCTGCCAAAAAAGGAACAGGAGAAAGAATTCAAGAGGAGGGGCGGGCCGCAGCACCCGCCTGCCGCCCCCGCCTGGCCTTTGGCCGGCTCTGCCTGTCCACAGTGAATCGGTCAGTCCCTGAACTCCCACACAGCTGGGCACCGGTGCTCAACTGGCACTGGAAACGTGTCAAATCAGAATCAGAATCCATTCCTTGCCCCGGTTGGGGGGGGGGGAGAGGAGAGGCCTGGGGCAGAGGGCGAAGCTCACTCTCCCTGGGCGAGTCCGAAAAGCCAGGGCCCGTCCCTGTCTCTTTGTGCCTCCGCCCCCCAGGCCCGCCCCGCACGAACCAACGCGGAAGATCAGTTCGTCCTCGATGGGGTTCTCCTTCTTCTTGCCGCTGCTGTACATGCTGGAGGGGCGGCGCACGGCCTTCTGGCGGATGTGGCCGCTGCTGGGGGACTTGACGCGGCGCTTGACGTCCTCCGGGGAGGGGGGCACGTCGGAGGCCTTGACGGCCTTGACGCGGAAGGGGCTGCCGCGGATGGGCTGGCCGTAGAGGCGGATGGAGAGCAGGTGGTCGCCCTCGTGGCGGGGGGTGTACAGCAGCTCGTAGGTCCCGTTCTTGTTGTCCAGCACCTCCAGGCCCACGGCCGAGCCGTCGGGGGCCGCCACCTCGGCCTGCAGGCAGGCGCTCCCGCTCCGCACCAGCTCCCCGTCCTTGTCCTTGGTGGTGATGGTGAGGGAGGTGGCCTGGCCCACCACGGCGTGGCGCAGCCCCTCCCCCGTGGCCACCGTCTTGTGGGCCGTGGCGCTGGTGGTCAGCAGCACCCCCAGGTTGAGGATGGACTTGCGCACCCCCTCCGTCTCCACCACGTAGTCCACCTGGGCGTTCTCGTGGGGCTGCTCGGGGAACTCCCGCCCCGCCAGCTCACTCAGCCGCTCCGTCATCTGCTTCTTCACCAGCAGCACCTCCGTCTCGGAGCCGTGGTCCAGCGCCTGCTCCGTGAAGCTGCAGCTGCTGAGGATGTTCTCCTGCCCGTGGCGCAGGGTGTCCAGCTGGGCCTGCAGCACCTGCGGGGCGGGGCGGGGCGGGGGGAGAGAGAAAGGCAGATGAGGGGCCGTGGCGCAGGACCCACTAAAGGCAGCACCAACACCGGCTGCTCCGGCCCCAGCAGGCACTGACCACCCAGGCAGCAATAAGAACACCAGAAGAACCTCCCGTCTCACACGGTGGCCAGCCAGTTCCTCCGGAGGGCCAGCAACAGGGCAGAGAGGCCGAGGCCTTCCCCGGAGAAGAACCTCAGAAGAGCCCTGCTGGGTCAGACCAGGGAGGGTCCCTCCAGTCCAGCCTCCCGTCTCACACTGTGGCCAGCCAGTTCCTCTGGAGGGCCAGCAACAGGGCAGGGAGGCCGAGGCCTTCCCCTGAGAAGGACCTCAGAAGAGCCCTGCTGGGCGAGACCAGTGAGGGTCCATCTAGTCCAATTTCCCGCCTCACACAGAGGCCAACCAGTTCTTCTGGAGGGCCAACAACAGGGCAGAGAGGCCGAGGCCTTCCCCGGAGAAGAACCTCAGAAGAGCCCTGCTGGGTCAGACCAGGGAGGGTCCATCTACTCCAGCATCCCATCTCACACAGGGGCCAGCCAGTCTCTCTGGAGGGCCAGGAACAGGGCAGAGAGGCCGAGGCCTCCCCCTGAGAAGCACATCAGAAGAGCCCTGCTGGGTCAGACCAGGGAGGGTCCATCCAGTCCAGCCTCCCGTCTCACACAGGGGCCAGCCAGTTCCTCTGGAGGGCCAGCAACAGGGCAGGGAGGCCGAGGCCTTCCCCTGAGAAGAACCTCAGAAGAGCCCTGCTGGGCCAGACCAGGGAGGGTCCATCCAGTCCAGCCTCCCGTCTCACACAGGGGCCAGCCAGTTCCTCTG